ACCACCGCTTCGACAGGCGATGGGCGGAATTCAAGAAGCGGGGTGATCGGGGGTAGCCCCGCCACGCCCCTGGGCGCGCTCTGACCAGGATTTCGAAGCGGCCCCAGCCGCGGCGACGAGAACTCCCCATGATGATGCCCCGAAGGCCGAAGCGTTCAAACTCAGACCTATACGACCACCCCTCGGGTGATAAGGGGGTGAGGGGGGGAGGAATCAACGTCGCACTCGATCGATCTCACTATCGATAGCATAATCGATCTCATTCGATCGATCTCACACTCGATACCATTATCGATTCCAGAATCGATCTCACATTCGGTTTCACTATCGATCTCACTAGCGATCGCACAATCGATCTCACAATCGATTTCAAATGCGGTCTCACTATCGACCTCACTATCGATCTCATTCGGCCGATCTCACAATCGATCTAACTATCGATCTCTCAATCGATCTGACTATCGATCCCACAATCGATCTCACATTCGGTCTCGCTATCGATCTCACTATCGATATCACAATCGAGGTCATCATTATCATCTTCATCAGTATCGTCATCCTCGCCACCTCACCATCATCATCAGAATCACCATCATCACCAGCATCACCATCAGCACCACCATCATCATCCTCATCTTAATGCTCATCATCATCATCGTCATCATCATCAGCATCACCATCATGACCATCATCATCATCCTGATCATCATCATCATCACCCGCATCATCATCATAATCATTTCTCACTGTCGATCTCACTATCTATATCACAATCGATCTCACAATCGACGTCATTATCATCACCACCGTCATCATCAACAGCATCATCATCATAATCATCACCATCATCACCATCATCACCATCGTCATCACCATAATCATCATCACCATGACCACCATGATCTCCATCATCACCATCATCACCATCATCAACAACATTGTTGTCATCATCATCACAACCATCATCAACATCCTCATCCTCGTCATCATCATCACCATATTCATCATCATCAGCAACATCAACATCATCATCACCGCCACCATCATCATCATCATCCTCATCATCATTATCATCAGCATCGTCTTCATCGCCACCACCATCATCAGCATCATCATCATCATCCTTATCCTCATCATCGTGGTCATCATCATCAACATCATCATCACAATCATCACCACCATCCTCATCATCATCATCCTCATCATCATCCTCAGCATCCTCATCATCATCATCGTTCACTGTCGATCTTGCTATTTATTTTATAGTCGAACTCACAATCGACAACATCATCATCATACTCGTCATCATCACCATCATCACCATCATAATCATCACCATCATCACCATTTACACCATCATCACGATTCTCACCATCATCACCATCATCACCATCATCAACATCATCACCATCATCATTTTCATCAATCATCACCATCACCATCACCATCCTCATCATCATCATCATCATTATCAGCATCGCCATCATCACAACCACCATCATCATCATCATCCTCCTCATCAGCATCATCATCCTTATCATCACCATCCTCATCATCCCCATCATCATTTTTCTTCTCCTCATCATCATCATCACCATCGGGACACAGGCGGGGCACCGGCAGCGGTGCACCAGCGGGGCACCGCGCGGCACTGTTCGCCAAGAGGGACACCGGGACACCGGCGGGACACTGGCGGGGCACCGCCCGGCCCCGGACGCCACGTCGCCAAACATTTGGCCCGGCCGCGCCTCAGCCCGGGGCGCCGGGGCACCGGCGGGGCACCGCCCGGCCCCGGGCGCCGGGTCGCCAGACATTTGGCCCGGCTGCGCCTTAGCCACAAGAGACTTTCTTCTCCTCTTGCCCGCCCGCGCAGCTTCGGCTCGCCCGCGCGGCGCGCGCGAACACGAAACCGAAATCGATTTCCCGACAGCATTATACTGGGGGGCTGTCCATCATTCCAATCCCACCAGCCCTCTGGGCGTACGTGGTCTAAGTCATTTCCCTTTCCAACCTCCTGCCTTTCCCTCCTGCTCGGGAGGTCGTTTACCTCCCCCCCCCCCCTGCGTTTGGACGGGGGGGGCGGGCCCATAGCGGCGTCCAAGAAGATGGCCCAAGATGGTTCCAAGAGAGCCTCCGAGAGCGCACGACGGCCTCCAAGATGGCCCAAGATAGCGGTAGAGGGGCCAAGATAGCCTCCGACAAGCGTCCGAGAAGCTTCAAGACGGCCCCAAGATAGTTTCAACTGCCCTCCGAGGCCTCCAAGGACCCCCCCAAGAAGATGCCAAACTCCTTCAAACACCTATGGACAATCGATGTTTTTTGCCTTCTGATTTTTTCGCCCCCGAAGGGCTCTTGTTGTTGAGGCCTCAAGAAGATGGTCCCAATATGATCCAAAACAGCCCCAAAAGGGGCCCATGATGAGAGCCCCAAAACGGCCCCAAGAACGCTCCAAGAGCGGGCCAATATGGTCCCACGACTGCATTTTTGAGCTTCCGATGGGGGGGGGCAAGAATTGCCTCCCCCCCCCTCTTCTTCTTTAGCCGTGATAGGGACCAAGAAGACGGCTCCGAGATGCCTCCCACACACCCCCTCAAAAAAAAGCCCCAAGGGGGGCTCCAATGTCCTCCAAAAGAGCCCCAAGAGGGCCCCAACACGCATCAAAAGAGCCCCACATACGCCCCAAGAAAGCCCTCATATGACCTCATGAGAGCCGCAATAAAGAGCACCAGGAAGCTCCAAGAGGGGCCCACGAGAATCCCAAGAGGGCCCAGACCAAATCAGTGCAACAGCCATTACGAGTCATCGAAATACCCCTCACCTCTTCTCATCGAAGCACTATCGTAACTTGCATTGACTTCCATCTTAACCTTCAATGCGGACAGCTATGATGTGCGATGCTTGTGTTCTCGACGACGGCTGCGCGACTGCGTGCGTTATGCCGCCCCTGATTCACCAACTCCCCTGCTGATCGTTTCTGGATGGGCTGGTGGGGGTACGCGAAGCGTCAAGAATTCGATCTCCCCCCTCGCCTCCGATTAATGAAAACGGGCCCACAGCCATAACCTCGAACTATAATAGAGAATAACCTTCCAGGGATCATGAAGTTCGGCGTCGCGGAGCGATAATAAAAGTTGCCCGCCAGAGGCCAACATAGAGATGTTAACAGAGGAGCCAACAAAGCCGATGATATCTTGAGACATCCTTAACTTTTCTTCCTGCTCGTCATCTTCCTCTTCTTCCTCAGCTTCTCTCTCTATCTCTCTACATTTATATTTCTATTTCTTATCCTCACCCTGCCCCCCTGAACTTGTTTATCGCTGGGGTTGCTTATCATTGGAGCGCGAGGCGCATGAGCTACCCTACGCGAGCACATACGCACTTACAATGACATCTAATAAGTTTTAAACTTTGGATTTGTGCGATCGCCTTCTCCTCTCCTCCTCTTGCTCTTTCTCCTCCTCATCCTCATCCTCCTCCTCTACCTCCTCTTCTCTTTTTATCGCCCTATGTATCTCTCGAAAACGAGGCACATGGGGAATCTCTATAGAAACCAATGGGAATCTCTATTATTATAGGAACCAGTAGGAATCTTAGGGGACCTATGAGAATTATTAGTATGCGCGCACAATTCTATAGGAAACCAATTGATTTTTTTTGGTATTTTTCAAAAATAAAAGCGAAGCTCGGAGGTGCGCCGCCGCGCGCGCGGCGGCGCACCGCTGAGCTCCACCACTTCTATATTATTATTATTTACCATTACTAAATCTATATGTAAGATTCCAAAAACGAAATTGGAAATTTCTGGGGCCCTTTAAGGAGGCCGAAGGAACGCGGCTGCTTTTCATATTTTTATCATACAGAATTGAAGCTCGGAGGCGCGCGCGCGCGCGGGTGACCCGGTCACCGCGCGCGCTTCTTAGCTTCAGTTCTTTATTATAATCGTATAAAAAAGCCGACAAGTTCCCTCAGCCTCCTTAAAGGGCTCTAGAATTTTTCGATTTCGTTTTTGGAATTATATGTTGATTTATTAATATCGAATGATAATGTAGAAGTGAAGCTCAGCGGTGCGCCGCCGCGCGCGCGGCTGCGCACCTCCGAGCTTCAGTTCCGTATCATAAAAATATTGAAAGCTGACGCGTTCCTTCGGCCTCTTTAAAGAGCTCCAGAATTTTCCAATTTCGTTTTTGGAATTAAATGTAGATTTTTCATGTGAATAATAATATACGAGAGAAGCTCAGAGGCGCGCGCGCGCACCTCCGAACTTAAGTTCTCTATTATAAAATTATTAAAAAGCCGACGTGTTCCTTCAGCATCCTTATTAATAATAAAGGGCACCAGAACTTTTCAATTTCGTTTTTGATGATGTTTCAGAGAGGACCAAATGGGCGCGCAGAGGAAAAGGAAAACTCCAAAGTTCAAAACCTTTTATATTTAATTGTCAACGCTTAATGGAAATTAGCATTTTCATCTGCTCGTGTAGGGCATAGCTCATCTGCCTCGGTTTCCCTGGATGATAGTAAAGCACAGCGATGCACAAGCTCAGGGGCCACGGTGAGGAGGAGAAAGCAAGAGAGAGACATCCTCGAGTATATGCTTGTTTCGCTTGAGACACCCTCGACAAGTTTTTCGCTTCGCTTGAGACATCCTCAAATAATTGCTGGTTCCGCTTGAGACATCCTCGAACCATTGATCGTTTCGTTTGAGGCTGCCTCCCAAAATTATTGGTTTCGCTTGAGACATCCTGAAAAAACGCGTTCGCTTCGCTTGATGTTGTTATCTCAACATGAGAAGGAAGTAACCTCGATGGTGAACTTTCGCAATGATAATGCAGTTCGGCCTCCGCGCCCCCCGTCTATATTTGAAACCCTATTAGAAGCCGCTCTTACATTATTTGAAGGGTGGGGTTGTTGGATTTGTCCGTTTCATGTTTTGGCTTAAGTCATGTGGTCGTTTGTTTTCTTTGCCTGTGCCGCCCACAGCATCGCGCTGCCGTTGTCGAGGGGCGCGTTCCACTTCGACGCCCTTGCGAAGACGGCGCAGCAGCTCCAGGACGAACGACATGGCAATGAGGAGTCGAAGGACGCGGAGCGTTTCCTGCGTCTCTTGGACGTGGAGTCATGCCTCACCTTCGCTATGCTGGCTGACGCTAGCGTTGAGAACCTTGCTCTGACTAGGTTTTTCGATTGCGATGACTTCGACAAATCAAGACAATGCCATGAAGTATTGCGGTTTTTCCAACGGGCGACCTACCTCTTCAATCACGGCGGTTGTTTGCAGACGGGTTTCACGCATCTGATGGTTCAGCGCCTCCAGCGAGCAAGGACCCTTTGGGTCGGCACTGGCCAAGCAGCAGTCCCGCATACACTTGGGGGGAGAGGAACAGTGACGCCGGCTCTCATCAATTCCGCTTTGAAGCGCATGAAGAATTGGGTTGCCCTCGCAACGCTCTTGATCAGAGCAGAATTTCCAAACTTTGAGGCATTGGCCTCGATGTGCATTTTCAGCTTGGAAGGCAAAACCATCGAGAAAGTTGTTGCTATGCCGAATTTCAGCGATCACATGGCCAGAATTGCTCACTTATGCCAAGTCCCTGAGACGGAGCTGCGGGTTCAATATGACGATTTCTTGCCAGTCGCCCTGAGGATGGCCGAGACTGCCGGGGCGTCGACCATCGACGCGTGGAGGCTAGCGGTCGAGGCCATGACCCGCACCCGGCGCATTGCGATGGCGCACCCTTCAGACGCCTTGATGGCGTGCTTGGTGCGATTCGGTGGATATGGGCAAAGCTCGTCCAGCGTGGAGCGGCTGTTCGCCAAGGGCCACATCACGGCCGGTTTCTGCCGGGCCGATCTCTCCGAGCAGCTCATCAACGACGAGTTGTTTATCATTTGCGACGTGGATCCCAAGTTGGACAATGAACTCTGCGAGGCTGCCCGGGCCATCTGGCGGGAGGTCTACAGGACCACTCGAACGAGCGACAGGCCTGCGCGAGTGGACGCCGGGCGGCCGCGACCAGTGTCAAGAGAAGACAATAGTTTTAACTCTTTTTGGAAACGTCGGAGCAGCGCCATCTCTGACGCAGCCAGCAGCTCCGAGGCGAGACACGCCAAGATCGAGGGGAGGCTGTCGACTGATACTGCTTCGTGGACGCCCGAAAACCAGGAAGAGGCCGACTTCCAGAAGGCCAAGCGCCTGAAGCAGCTCTTGAGCACGAGCGAGTTGAACATAGACAAGGACATGCCGCCCAACATGCGCGAGGCTGCTCGTTTATTCTCGCTGTATCAAGACAAGCTGACTGAAGAGTACATCAATAAGAAACGAGCCGCCTCTCGAGCCGCCGACGACCCGGCCCTCCCTGTTTTAGCTGGCGCCAGTGTTTTCGTCGAGAAGAGTTTTCAGGGCAAGTTCAAGGCGCCCTGTCACGTTCGCGTGTTGAGAACTTTGGATGCTAAGGTGGTCAATGATCGACTCAATGCGAACGCCTTCATCGTTCCTGATGCTGTACTCCTACCACAACGTATCCATTGGGCACTAGTCATTGGTGGAGGAGTGGCGTGCGATCTACAGTTTTTCGCATCAGCAGGCGAGAGAGGTCGTTGCATGACCTTCCATGGCATTGCGCATCTCACTCGAGTTGCGCGGGCGCCCGACGAGTTCGCGAGGCTCCATCCCGAGCTTTACCGCATCATGATTTCGAAGACTGCTACCTCCAATGGCGTTTGGAAGCGGTTCCAGAAGGGCGCGTTCATGCCGCCGCCCACGAGAAGATTGCGAGGAAACGCCCGTCCGAGGCGATGGCTTTCGTGGCGGACAGGGAACTCGCGGCCCCGGAGCCTGGCGGTTCAACAAATAAACGCCCCGACCCCACACCCGTGATCCCCCCCTCCAGTTTTTTCAAGCCCATTGCTGTTGCTGTTGGGGGTGAAAACGCTACATCCTCTTCCACGCCCCCCCCCATCATCATCCTCCCCCCGACATTCTCCCCCCTCCTCCTTCCCCCTCCCCTCTCAGCCCCCTCCGTTCGCCCCTCCGCCACCGCCAGAGCAGCGAGGGGGAGCGACTCCGTCCTGGGCGGGTCGGGGCGAAGACCCGGGGCCTGCGCGGCCGGGCAAGGGGCCGGCGCCCCTCGGAGGGCGAGGGGGAGGAGGAGGAGGAGGAGGAGGAGGAGGAGGAGGAGGCGGAGGACGAGGAGGAGGAGGATGAGGAGGCGAGAGGGAGGAGGGCGAGGAGGAGGAGGAGGCGGACGACAACGATGAGGAAAGCGAAGAGGACGACGAGAATGGCGACGAAGAAGGGGGCGACGACGACGCCTCGAGCAACCTGAAAATAGAAGGGCGATCCAGGGGACGACGACTCAGGGGGCAACGACGACGAGGGCGACGACGACGAGGAGGACGACGATGACGAGGAGGACGAGGAGGCGGAGGAGGAAGAAGAGGGCAAGGACGAGGAGGATGAGGAGGACGATGACTCATCAGAGGACCTGGCGTTCATTCGGGCCTCAGCCAAGTTCACGGCAACAACGGCGCTGAAGAGTCTGAGCAAGCCGGTGAGAGGCATGTCGAGCGCCGGCTACTGAGTCCGGCCAACGTTCGGAGAGGCAGGAGAGGAGGAGGGCCAGGGGGAACCCGGGATGCCCTATGATGCGACGCTGCCATGCACCCCCCCATCATAAGTTCACGCAATCATCCTTTTCACGCCTGGGCGTGCGCCCTTGAAAGACAAGCGCCCCATGGGGCTGACATTGATGAGGAACTGTGCGCTTCGAAATTCAATGAACCTGGCAGACTTTGTTGAACTGCCAGTTGATGCTCATGTGTTTTTGATAACTATATATTCTTAAGCTGCTCAGAAGAAACCAATTCCCTACCTAGGCTTTGCCTAGAAGGGTTCTTGCCCTGTATGCTTAAAGGGCCGGGCAGTGGAAATCGCCCCGGGCGGTTCTCCCGGCATCCGCACCGCGGTTCCCCCATGGTCCCCCGCTTTGCCTAGCCTAGCTTAGCTTAGCTTAGCTAGCTTAGCTTAGCTTAGCTTAGCTCAGCTTTAGCTTAGCTCGGCTTAGCTTGGCCTAGTAGCCTAGCTTAGCTTAGCTTTAACATATTTAGCTTAGCATGGCTGAGTCTACCTTACCTTAGTTTAGCTTGGGCAGCAATATCACAGTATATCATAGCATAGCATAGCCAAGCATATCATGACATAACATAGCATAGCTCAACATATTATCATAGCATAACATAGCACATCATAGCGCAGTCTAGCATAGTATAACATAGCATGGCATTGAATCGCTTAGCATAGCACACCGCAGCATAGCAAATCATAGCACATCACAACATACTACAGCATATCATGGCATAGTGCAGCATAACATTACACATCATAGCATAGCATAGCAGAGCGCGGCATAGCATATCACAGCTTCGCCTATCATATCATAGCATAGCGCAGCATAGCATAGCATAACATAGCGCAGCATGGCATATCATAGCATAGCGAAGCATAACTTAGCTTACTCTAGCTTAGCTTAGCGCAGCGCAGCATAGCGCAGCGCAGCATTAGCACATCATTTCAAAGCATAGCATAGCCAAACGTAGCATCGCATAGCACAGCATATCCTTGCATATCGTAGCATAGCATGCAAAGCGAGAGCACCACCAATGCGAACTTGTAGATGTATATGTCGATGTAGGTGTAGGTGTAGATGTGGATGTAGGTGTATGATATGTAGATGTATATGTAGATGTAGATGTAAATGTAGATGCAGATGTAGGTGTAGATGTAGGTGTGGATTTAGATGTAGATGTGAGTCTCGCGGCTGATGTTGATGTAGATGTAGATGCAGGTGTATATGTTAATGTAGCTGTCGGTGTAGATGTAGATGTTGCTTTCCTAGGTGCTCCAACTCCTAGGTAGGACACTGCGATGATTGCTAACTAAGGATTTCGACATGCGCGCGCGGGAGACGCGCGCATATGGCCCGCGCGGTATTACTTGATATGGATTGATGCCCTGAACGCGCGCCCGGCCCGCCCTAGCGACACGTCTGGCGGAGCGACGGCAGGGAGGCGTTATTCATAAGAGAACGGACGTGGGCGGATCAGGGGGGGGATGCTCGTCCATTCCGCGCTGGCCAGAGGCCTCAGCGAGGCGGCCCCCGACCAGTGGGATGCCCAGGCCTCGATTTAGATTCGAAGATGAGGAGTGCTTATGAGGAGAGGGGGGAGACATCAGGAGAATGGAGGATGGATGATGCTCGTCCATTCCGTTTGCTCGGGGGCCGCCTGCGACGGGGCCTGAGTGCCTGGCGGGCACCGTCATCGACCACGCAAATGAGGCCCCTTGTTTTCCCTTGGAGTGGGCATGAATGAGGCTTCGCCTCCTGCCTCGTCCTTCCCGTCTCGGGATCTTTCCGGATCTGGGGTCTTGAGCTCCCGTGGTGGGCGAGGGGGGGAGGCGATGCCCCCCCCCCCCTCGGCGTCTTGACCCAGAAGAAGAAGCGCGGCGCCAGCGGCGTCACCAGACTGGGCGTCCTAGACCGTCTTGAGGCCATCTTGGGTCGTCTTGGGTTCATCTTGGGCCGCGTCGGAGGCATCTTGGGGTCATATTGGGCTCTCTTCTTGGGGGCATCTTGGACGTCTTGGATGCGTATCGGGACCATCTTGGAAATCATCTTGGGCCATCTAAGCCGTCTTGGAGGCCACCTTGATGATGGGCCGAGCCCGTCCTCCAGCAGGTCCGCGGGCAAACAACCGCTGACGGGATCGAGACAGGGAAGGGGGGGGGCTCGATGGCCGCCGCCGTTGCCCTTGCTGCCTTCCGCGCGTCTAAGCTGAAAGAAGAGGGGGAGGAGGATGATAATGATGATGAGGAGGAGGGCGCCTAGACAACAATGTTGCCATCGGCGCCAAGAAGATGGGATCGGATAGAATGGGCGGGGCGGATAAGATACTACGATGGGGGCGGGCCGGAGTGGGCCAGGATAGTGCGGGGCAGGAAAAGGCGGAACGAGGTTGGATGCCACGATGGGACAGCAGCGGGCGAGAACGAATGATAATAAGATGCACGTGCCGGCCGCGCGGGGCGCGGCTGCAGGGCCTGCCTGGAAGCGCTCGCTGCAGGACCGTCGGCCTGTGGGCGACCCGTCAGAGCCTCGCCTGGGCGCGCCTGGACGACGTCGTCGTCGTCGCCGTTGTCCGTTATCGATTTTGAAGGGGGCCAATTTTGAAGGGGGATCAGCCCCCTTCAAAATCTGCCCCCTTCAAAATCGGCGCCCGGACCGGTCCCCTCCTTCAAAATCGGCCCCGGGGCGCTTTATTATGAGGTTTCGCGTTGACGAGGGCCCCCCCAAATAATGCCCAACAAGGCCGAACAACAAAGACGACGAGGCCTACCCCCGTCACGCCCCCTCCTCCTCGTCCTTCCCCTCCTCCTCCTCCTCCTCCTCCTCCATCCTCCTCTGAACCCTGCCATTATTGCCCCCTCAGCCGTTCCCCAGAAAGAAAAGTGAGGGGAGGTTTTCTTTTTGAGTCGCGGACCCGCTCGGCTGGCCGGGAAGCGCCGCCGGGCTCGAGTGGCAGATTCATCGTTTTTTCACGTTCCGTATCATCGTAGTAGTCCAGGCATTTCTTCTGGACGCCCATGTCGCCCAGGCAATGGTGTCTGGAATTCCCATGGCGTTGCATTCTTTCTTCATCGCGAATTGGTTGGGCTGTTGTTGTTGTGGGGCCAAGACCGACAAGAAGAAGGGGGGATGTACACCCATGCCGTGAAGCCGCTGACGCCCCAGACTGCGCGTTCGGACATATTGTTCTATTGCAGCGCTGTACATTGTAATCTCTTCAATGAAATCATGAACTCGCCTTCTTTGCGAGACGAGTTATGGGGCCTCCTTCAATCTTTGTACACCGCGCCTCAGAGCGTGCAAGCTGTGGAAACTCACCCGATTGAGGACGTGGACTGGAGCTATTGGGAGCGCCGCCTACGAGACAGCAGAGCCTCCAATCGCTCGTCGGCGGCAGCAACAGCTCCGGGGACATCAGCCGCCAACGCACCAACAGCTTCCGGGGCATCGGCCTCCAGCGCGCCAGCAGCTTCGGGGACATCGGCCGCCAGCGCACCGACAGCTTCGGGAAGAACATCAGCCGCCGGCGCAGCGGGAACATCGGCCGCCAGCGCACCAACAGCTTCGGGAAGAACATCAGCCGCCAGCACAGCGGGACCATCAGCCGCCAGCAGCGCACCATCAGCTTCGGGAGCATCAGCCGCCGGCACAGCGGGAACATCAGCAGCCAGCGCGCCATCAGCTTCGGAAACATCAGCGGGGTCACCGGCCTACAACGCAGCTGCAGCATCACGGCCAGCGGTGCCATCAGACTGCAACACAGCAGCAGCGGCATCATCATCACCAGCAG